GTCACATGGTATGGAATGTCCCTTTGGCCAGTTTGGCTGTGCCCCCTCCCAGCTTCTTGTGCACCTCCAGCCTTCTCAGTCGGTAGAGCATGGAAAACTAAAAAGTCCTTGGCTAGTGTAAGCACTACCTAGCAACAACTAAAACATGGGTGTGTTATCAACTTTGTTCTCATCCTAAATCCAAAACACTGTACCAGCTCCTAGGAGGGAAATTAACTCTATCCCTGCCGAAACCAGGACAACCCTTCACTTGTTTTACTTACACCGGTCCTTCCCAATAGCTGGATTTTAGGATACACGCCAGTCCTGCCTTGGTGGCTGAGACCCTCGCTTGCTCCTGTGGCTGGCACTGAGACCCCCACTCTCTCCTCCTGCAGACGCCACGGGCCTGGGACACCTGCAGTTCTGGTCTGATTCCAACTGTCGGCCCCATATGACCTCTCACCAGCAGCCGGCACTTAGTCCTTGCAGCACTCATACACGCACGCGATAGAGTGTGAGATTGCACAGAAAGATGATTAAAAAAGAATTTAATAAGAAGAGAGGACAGACTGCAGTGATCAGGCACAGGGCTCAGTCAGACAAGTGGACTGACTGCCAACAGTTTACACATGACTAGCCCCTCTTATACCCCTCTCTGTTCTCCACTTTTTTCCTCCTCGGTCCCCTTCCCCTGCACGTTGCTTCATCAGTTTGCACAGTTGCACCAACGTTCTTCCCAAATATCCAGAACCCCCAGGTTTGCATCCTTACCCAGCTGCAAGGGACAGGTTCACCTCCTTTCAAGTGATGCTTGCAGTTTCTTGATAGCCCATCAGTTAGTGTGACTGATGAGCTTTGTTTCTCGTCCTTGTCTCCCTTAGTGTTCGTCTGACAGGTCTGTGTCTCTGTAGGTTTTGCTTTTTCCCCTCCCCCTTTTCCTTATCATCCCATTTTGACAAGGTCCTCAATCAGATAAATGTACTGATACACTAATGGATAAGGGCATGTGGAGCGTGAGAATATTTGTAACTGTCCAGTTACAAATGTTACTGCCTCCATTATTTGTCGGTCAGGTTTGAGCCTCTCTGTTTTGCTTATTATCCTTTTTGACAAGGTCCTTGATCAGATAATCTTACTGAAGCAAACACCGTCACCTTCCACGTATCCTTACAGTGTTTATTTTACAAGAAAGTCTCCTAAGGTTTGATTTCAAGTGATAAAGATTTATTAACATCACTTTTCTTTTTTAACACCTGGACCAGTACAGTGCCAAAAGCTTAAAAATCTTAAAAATATTTTTTAGCATGTTCAGAAACACAATACTGAAATAGCAGTAATTCTGCAGTGCTGCTACTTTGCTTCATTTTGAACTCTCGTTCTCTCTGCAGCTGTGCTTTGGGTCTGGGAGATGTAAAAAGTTTGCATTGATAAGGAAAAATTTGTGATAAAGCTTAGGAACTGGAATTGATTTCTAAGTAAAAGATGCCTACCTATCAAGTTAAAACAGCACCTTTTCTCATCCCCCATCCCTGAGTCCATGTATGTTTCCTATGACCTAGAAGCTGCAAATAATTTTCCCCCTTCTAATTTTGTCCCACTATCAAAAACAAGTTTAGGTATTTCTGCCTCTCGTTTCTTTCTGTTCTTCTCCTGATAATAGTAAGGGCTAAGTAGAAAGGGAGGATCTGATAGTCTGGAACTGGTAGGTGTTGGGCATTTGAAGCACTTGTTTTGTCTAAGAATAAGCTGAGCTAGTGCAGCTATAATCAATATTTTCAGTATTTGTGCCCAGAGTGTTTTCTAGCAGAAATAGCTCCACAAAGATCAAACAGACTCTAAAAAGCATAGCTGCTGTGGTATCTGAGGATGTCAGTGTTTGTTTATGGTTCTGAGTGTCACATGTGACATTTAGGAGATTTATAAATTGTGTCACATTAAGCAAGTGCCTCTGGATATGAACACGGCAGTGGCCGAATGATACACGGTAATAGTGTAAAAAAGAACTGACCCTGCCTTGCGTACCAGCCTTTGTTTAGTAACCAGGGAAAGATAAAAGTTGTACTTGCCTATGTTTTACTTTGTGGCATCTTTTTTAGGATTGGAGGATTCATGTAGATCAAATGCATCAGCATAAGGATGGAATCGAATCTTCTCTGAAAGAAACTAGGGTATGTCTTGTGTGTGCAGAGTATTTCACTGATCTGTCAGCATTTTTATTTTCTCTTTTATTTCATATACATTAAGAACTAAATTGATTTTCTTAATTTTATTTGTGCTAATGCTGTAAAACTAAAAAGGGAAACATACAATAATGATGATTAGGGACAGTGGGACTTTCAAAATATCTTGTGGGAAAGAGTTGTATATGTGAGGATTAACAGGGATATTAGAGTTCATTAACATATGCATTACCATAAGTACATCCTGACTACAGAGGGCAAAATGGAGTAATACAATAATACAATCTCAAAATAAGTGCTGAGAAAAAAACCCAAAATACCATCAAATACTGTTGTTAGAGTAACTTACTGACCTTGACATTTGTAATTAATTGAGGGGGGGAAAGTGATGGAAACAGTAAAGCTTGAAATATGTGTTTTGGAGGTAGATAAACCAGAACACATTAGGTATATTTTTTTCGTTGGCTAAACACAGCATTTCTGTACTATTTTTGTCTCTCACTTGTAGGCTTCCATATCCTTTCTTAATTACAGCACCATTTTAATACTCTTTGCGTACTATCTGTATACTGTCAACCCACAGAATATGATTTTCTAGGGTTACATTGACAAACTCCATAATGAAATCGGCAGAACACTGGAAAAGATCAATAGCAGGGAAAAGTACATCAACAATCAGCTGGAGCACCTGGTTCAAGAGTACCGTTCAGCACAAGCCTTGCTGAGTGAGGTAATGCACTGATCTTTTGTTATTGCCTTCTCTAGTATTAACTTGCTCTTAAGTGAGGGTGAAGGCAAAGAAGACTCGGAGGAGTTATCTGTGAATTCTGCTGTTCGATATAAAGCAGGGGAAATGTTGATTGGCTGTCAAATTATATAGTTTTTAAGCTAAACTAGCAACTTTTAGTCAACTATTCTACAGGGGAAAGTAAATGTTTTTTGCCTGAATATTATGTAAATCTGTTGCCGATCTTGAGCAGCTAGTAAATTGCTAGTTCTGCTTTCCCTGTGAAGTTCACAAATCTGTGATGAGTGGAAAAACTACGGTCTCAGTCCAGCATTCATCTCTTATATTGATTACTTGTGCTAACGTGCAAAAAGCGCTATGATTGCTTCTTTGCTTCATTTCGTTTTTATGCCAAAATAGTGCTGTTTGAGAAGCTTTTTGATAGCCTAGTTAGGAGGCCTGTATAAGCTGCCATTTGGCTAGCTGTTGTGGTGTAACCTCAGCCGGCAACTAAGCACCACCCAGCCGCTCACTCACTCCCCTCACAGTGGGATGGGGGAGAGAATCAGAAGGGTAAAAGTGAGAAAATTCGTGGGTTGAGATCAAGACAGTTTAATAGGTAAAGCAAAAGCTGCGCACGCCAGCAAAGCAAAACAAGGCATTCATTCACCCCTTCCCATCGGCAGGCAGGTGTTCAGCCATCTCCAGGAAAGCAGGGCTCCATCACGCATAATGGTTACTTGGGAAGACAAACGCCATCACTCCAAACGTCCCCCCCTTCCTTCTTCTTCCCCCAGCTTTATATGCTGAGCATGACGTCACATGGTATGGAATATCCCTTTGGCCAGTTTGGGTCAGCTGTCCTGGCTGTGCCCCCTCCCAGCTTCTTGTGCACCTCCAGCCTTCTCAGTCGGTAGGGCATGGGAAGCTGAAAAGTCCTTGAC